GTTGTTAAAATGAGTCTGGTTTCTGGCTGTTATTGGCAATTAAGTAAACGTGTTGTGGCTCTTAAGTGTGTATTTGACTAATTTTTTTTGAAAATGGCTCCTCTTATTAATGTCACCTATCCTTATTAAGGTCACCTATCCCCTGGATTATGAAGCACTACTAATTATCAGCCCCAAACAATTGTGGATCACATACAGCCTTAGCTTTAGGAGACACTCTAGCTCCATCTAGATGCCGAGACAACACCGCAGCACAATATAAAGCTCGCTTGCAGATTTCTTGCAGAAGAATTGAATAGATTGCACACTTCTCAAAAGCCAAGCACAGCCGTAGAAACTAAAATAAAAACAACTCAAAACAAAGGCAGGTTGAGCAGCATTCATGGAGAGGTGGAAATCAACATTTCCAGTCTTGAAACTCAAAGAAATTGTCAACAGTATTTAAAATGGAACCCAACAAAGGAGAGGCATAGAACACAAACAACAAAAACGCCTATGCAGGAAAAGGAGAATGACTTGCAAATTAGTAAATGAAGTTCTGTGAAGAAAGATGGTTGTGGATGGTGTGGTATTTCATTACTAAAAACTCTGGTAAGTCTACAACCTCATTGTGTTCTGGTCACCGCACCTAAGAGGGATCTGAAGACATTGAGGGGATATAGAGGAGATTTACCAGCATGGTTCCAGGGATGAGGGATTTTGACTACAAAGTTAGATTGAAGAAGGAAACACAGAAAATGCTGGGAGAAACTCACCAGGTCCAGCAGCATCTGAGGAAAGAGAGACATTCTGAGTCCAGTATGACTTCTTCAGAAGAGAAACTTGTTTAGGCTGGAGAAGCTGGACTTGTTCTCCTTTGACTAAAGGAGATTGAGGAGAGGTCAGATAGAAGTGTACACATCATGATATGGTTTGGCAAAGTAGAAAATAAAAGAACAGTTCTTGTGAGCTGATGGTGAAAGGCCAAGAGGTCATATTTAAAGATTTAGGCAAGACTTAGAGGAAAGATGTAAATGTGACAATAAAGCTAATTCAAAGTCAAACGTGAAGATGGTAAATGATTTCAAAAGGAAATTAGATGTGCCCTTGAGGGAAATAAACTTGGAGTAAAATGGGGATGGAGCAATGGAATAGCTAGATTGCTTTACAGAGGCCCAGCATGGACTTGATGGGTCGAATGGCCTCTTTCAGTCACAGAGTAATAGTCAGTCCCCTGGTGTGAAGTATGTGCAGGCTGATTAAACATCTGACAGGCCACAAAGTAAATGCTTTTTCTATGGCTGTAACCCTTGCTACCACTGCAGGTTGGTGGTTAGTTTTATACAATGGGAGGATTTAATGGGTCACCACAATGGGATGGGGTAGGTGGAGAGGTTCTACCTGCAGGCCCAGTAGGCATCCCACGTGATATTAACTCAGAACGAGTGCTCTGGTCTCCACACCGGAACATTTAAAACCTTCACCTCTGACTCAGAGGCGAGAATTCTCCCAAAGACGTTTCTTCATTTGTTCGTTGATGTTACCTCCCCAGAGATTGTACCACCCATGGATCTTCCTCCACTTTTGTCTGTCCTGTCCTTTTCCTCACGTACAAATCAGGAGCAGGAGCAGACAATTCTACCCCCTAAAGCCTATGCCACCAGATCATGGCTGATCTGTTTTAGTTATGAATTCCACATTCCTGTCTATCGCCTGTAACCTTCAATCCCCTTGCTCAACAAGGATCTAGCTACCTCTGTCTTAGAAATCGACAAAGCTACCTCCACTGCCTTGTGGCAGGGAGTTCCAAAGTCGCACGACTTTGAGAGAGGAAAAAAAAGCTCAATTATAAGGGCACCCCTAATTTCTAAACAGCAGCCCTAAGTTCATGCCTCAGGATGGCAGCACTGATGTATGGGGGAGAGACTGACTAGGTTAGGATTGTTTTCACTGGAGTTCAGACGAATGAGGGAGTATCTCATAGAGACTTATAAAATTCTAACAGGGCTGGTCAGGGTAGGATGCAGGGAGGATGTTCCTGATGGTGGGTGTGTCCAGAACCAGGGGTGACAGTATGTGGATTTGGGGTAGACCATTTAGGACAGAGACAAGGAAACATCTCTTCGCCCAAAGAGTAGTGAGCCTGTGGAATTCATTACCACAGGAAGTAGTTGATGCCAAAACACGGGGAGAATGTGCAAACACGACACAGTTCGCCTGAGGGTGGAATCGAACCCAGGTCCCTGGCACAGTGAGGCAGCAGTGCTAACCACTGAGGCAGCTAGATATAGCACTTGGTGTGAACAGGATTGAAGGTTATGGGGAAGAAAGCAGGATTACGCTATTGAGTTGGACAATCAGCCATGACCGTGATGAATGGCGGCGCAGGCTCGAAAGGCCAAACGGCCTCCTCCTGCTCCTGTCTTCTATGTTTCTATCCACAAGAGGAAACATCCTTTCCATATCCACCTTGTCAAGACCACTCAGGATCTGATACACTTCAACCAAATCAGCACTTGCTTTTCTAAACTCTGGAGAAATCAAGCCCAGCCCATCCAATCCTTCCTCATTACTCAACCAACTCAATTAGGGTATCAATCTAGTGAACCTCCTCTGAACAGCCTCCCCATCCATTTTCATCATTCCCTAAATAGAGACCAAAACCGCACACAGTAATCAAGTTATGGTTCTATCAATGCACTGTATAACCGAAGCATAAGATCCTTCCTTTTATACTCGATATTTTTGTAGTGAACAAAGATATCATCATTAGCCACCTTAATTTCTACACGTACCTCATGGAATTCCTTAGACTAAATGTTTGTAACTAATGCAGCGGAACATATAGATTCTGCTGCACCTCAGAATTCTATAGTTGTTATCCATTTCATGGAATCATAGAATCCCTACAATGTGGAAGCAGGCCATTCGGCCCATCGTATCCACACCAATTTTCTGCAGAGCATCCCACCCAGACCTACCCTACCCTTGCATTTCCCATGGTTAATCCACCTACGCTACACATCCTTGGACACTATAGGCAGTTTAGCATGGCCAATCCACCTAACCTGCACATCTTTGGACTGTGGGAGGAAACTGCAGCACCTGGAGAACACCCACGCGGACACGGGGAGAACGCGCAAACACAACAGAGTCACCTGAGGGTGGAATCAAACCCACGTCCCTGGTGCTGTGAGGCAGCAGAGGTAACCACTGAGCCGCCGTGCTGCCACTTACATACTCTTTTCTAACTCTTCCTGCTAGAGAACAACATCACACTTTCCCATGTAATACTTGCATATCATGTTCCACATTATTCATATAGTGGCAGTGACCTCATTGGTGTAGGGTTGGGGTGGAAATCCACGACTCTGATTGGCTACTGCTGAGTTAAAGCTGGTTGTTAAAATGATTTTACTGACAAAATTATGATTTACAAAAATAAAACCTGATATTTCACGTTTAGATTTTTAAAAATTTGTTTCTGTCAATACATAAATTCAATGCATATATACAAATGTTGCATTTTATCACAGACACTATGCAACTTGCCAAGCATTTGGTTTCAAATTCTAGTCATGTGGATTCCCAATTGTTATTTAAAGCAATTCTTTTAAAAAAGAAGGACCCTTTAGGTACAAGGTGCGGACCCATGGTCTTATGCATGACATTTCCCCAATGAACCAACAGTGCAATGATTATTTATTGACTTGCTTCATTAAAGGTGTTCCATAAAGGTGCTTTGAAAAGACCAAACCCGGTTCTAGACAATCCTTCACTGAAAATAAAGAGATGTAAATCAATGCATTGGACAGGGTAATCTGAAAATGCTTCAGATTGGTTTGCCTCATTGAAAATAAATTATGATGATAAATCTTTTCAACACCATTGGCACTAAAGCTGAGGAGTTGGCACACTGGTATCGATGTCCCATAATAAGTGTGATGGGGTTAACTTGTGACAAGTATAAATGTGACAGGGTGTCCACTATTCTTCAAAAGCCCAGAGACCAGATAGAACAACATTGAGTCACTGAAGCTAAATACTTTCATTGTACAATTGTAATACCAGCCACTAACTGCTAAATGTCAACTACCTAACTCAGGGCAGAGATTTTTGTCTCCTTTTCAGAGACAAAAATATTTGGCTAATGGAATAGGATTCTGTGATTTGAGAAGAACAGTGGATTCTTAGAACGACTGCTGGTTCCCTACCAATCTCCTGGTAACAATGTTTTAGTCTCTTTCCTTCTCTATGGTTCACTTTATCCCTTCTTTTGCATTTCTTATGCATAACTTGAGCAACTCACCCATTGACTCCAAACAAAAAACAGGGTGCATTACTTTTAACTGTTTTTGATGGATTTTGATGATTCCACTCTCTTGTCTCCATCTTTAGGTCACTCTTTATAATCAATCTTTTCCACCAAGCTTTTTGATACCTGTCCTAATATCTTCTTAAGCAGCCCAGTGCCAAAGAGCACTTGTTAATCCTCCTATAGTGGTTTAGAAAGTCTGACTTCCTTAAAGGTGTTATTTACAAATTAAAATTGTTGAAACGGTAGGTTCGAAGAGCAGGCGTGTAAAATTGAGGAGCTGATTCTGAAGGATTTTTTAGTGAGTTAGTAGCTGCCATCCAGGCAGAGAATGGCTTCAGCATTTGGTGATCTTGTAGGACTTATGACATCTCAACACAAAGAGCTCAGTGTCAGTTCATGTGCAGCACGGCATGTGTATAACCTACAAGTTGGAGACTTAATCATTGCTTAATGTTTCAGGTTTGAAAATTTAAAAATCCTCCTGAAATTTCCTCTCCCATTAGAAATGCTTTAGTGGCTGCTTTCTAGCAATGGCACCATGTGGTATAGTGGCCAGAATCCATTAACGCTACCTGCAGTGCAGTGCTGAGAAACATGACACAGTTTAGCGAGCTGCTGACAAACTATCATTTACAAAGTGGTGTCTGGTGTGTATAAAGTGCCATTAACAGTGACCAAAGTAGCTTGGATCCCACACCATAAATAATAGAAAACAAATCCATATTTTATTAGATGTGATATATATTGGGAAACAGGAACATCCAGGTTATTCCAAATTATTACTTTACATTGTGGTTACCAGCCTCACTGTGGAGAGATGTATCAGTGTTCTCCATTCTTTACACTCTGTTTGTTACAATTAATGAGGTAGAGTAAAACCTTTTGTCTGTGCTCACAACCACTATACAAACTGCTTACTACACAGCATGGACCTTGTGTTCCGGAGTTTCTGGTTACTGGCACCTTGTGTTGAAAGCTGCACGTGGAAGGCAGATGTAGCCGGAATGGTCATGCAGGGTGTTCCAGGTAGGATGCCAACAATTATCACTTAACCAGTCCAGCCGTTTTATTAAAACCATGACTTTGCTTTTATTCTTTTATGGGTTGTGAACCTTACTGGCGAGACCAGCATTTGTTGCCCACACCTATTTACCTTCCAGAAGGCAGTGATGAGCCACTTTCTTCAATCACTGGAAGGCACTTGATGCAGGTACACTCACAACACTGTCAGGAAAGGAGTTCCAAGATTTTGACCCAGTGACAGAGAAGGAACAGTGATCCATGTCTAAGACAGGACAGTGCATGGCACGAAGGAAAATTCTGATGATGGTGTTGGTCCCATAGATTATCTAGCCGGCAGAGACAGGTTTGGAAGGTGCTATGGAAGGATGGTTGGTGAGTTGCTGTTATGGATTATGGTTAATTGTGGGCATTTTGCAGTTTGTGTGCGGCCAATATTGAAGAAATATGCCGAATAACCGCTTCATTAGGCTACCTCCTAATGAACTAGGTTAAGTTGTCCAGAATGACATAAAATGCCTTGAAATGACCAAATGCACAATCTTCAAAGCCACACTACGATCTCCATTTGGGGAGCTGCAGATTTGAGTTCATTCTATGCCACCAGATTTATTCATTCCAGCTTTGGAAACAGATAAACACAAGGTCTGTTCTAGAAGAGGTTCTGAAGAAGGGTGACTGGACGCACTATATTAACTCTGATTTCTCTCCACAGATGCTGCCAGAAATGCTGAGATTTTCCAGCAATTTCTGTTTTTGTCTGGTCTAGAAACATTGATTCTGATTTACTAGCACATTATTAGTTATGAAGTGATTAGAAGTGAATTCCACATGTATGGCAACGATTTCCCCTTGGTAAATGGCACTGTCTCACCAAAACTAATGTGTAGTATTTACAGTGGCCACACGGTGATTAATCAGATATGTGGCTAAAAGCCCAGTTTATCCATGAACAGTATTTCTGACACAGTTTATCGTCTTTGCTGAATGTATATGGAGGTGTTCAGAAAATCTGGATGCAGATTTGTCTCTTCCTGACATCCCGGAAGTCTTGACTGGATAAATCACAGCGTATTCATTGTTTTAATCAGAGAGTCGAGGAACTGGAAGTAATTGTACTTGATGTCATACTCCATATCATACCAGAAATTCACTGAAACAGAAAAATTAAATCAAATTCTATACCGTGCTGATGCTAGCACTTTCTTTCAAATCAAAAGGCTGTATTTCTTCTCAATTCTGTCTTTCAAACAATCTGTCTTTCTTTTCTGCCTTCCTGAAGGTGCAGTTTCAGTCAAGTCTTGTTGAGGGTCTAAGTGAGACAGGAAATCCACCTGCAGAAGCAACCCCTTATTATGGGAGACTGTGCACCAGATTACCCAGCCACCCTCCTCAACATCTACCTTGTCAAGCATTGACAAAGTATATATATTTCAATCATATTCTTCTAAACAGCAGGGAATAAGGCCTGAAGTTTAATTTTTTTTTCTTCTTTATTCATTCATGGGATAAGGGCATCGCTGGCTAGGCAGCATTTATTGCCCATCAGGCAGTTAAGAGACAACCACATTGCCGTGGGTCTGAAGTCACATGTAGGCCAGACCAGGTAAAGATGGCAGTTTCCATCCCTAAAGGACATGAGTGAACCAGATGGGTTTTTCCCTGACAATCAGCAATGGATTCACAGTCATCATTAGATTCTTAATTCCAGATATTTATTGAATTCAAACTCTACCATCTGCCGTGGCAGGATTTGAACATGGGTCCCCAGAACATTACCTGGGTCTCTGGATTAACAGTCCAGTGATAATACCATTAGGCCGTTGCCTGCCCAAATAATCTCTTTTCATAGGACAATGCCCTCTTTCCAAGAATCACTCCAGGGAATCTTTGTTAGACTTCTTCTAATGCAAGTACACCTTTCCTTTGATAAGGAGGTTAGTTTCCTTATTCATCCCTAATTGCCTTCAAGAATGTTGCAGTTCTGCTTAATCATGTTACAACTTTCTCCCTAATGTCCATCAACACCAAATAGTCTGCAGCATTTCAAGGAGGCAGCTCACCACCACTTTCTCAAGGGCAACTAGGTGTGTGCAATAAATGCTGGCCCAGCCAACAATGCAACAATGAATGAAAAATAAAAACAGAATGCGCCCTATTATCATTATCCCCAACAACTGACTCCAGCAGTTCACCTACTATTGATGTCAAGGCTAACTGACCCACAGTTCCCTGTTTTCTCTCTATCTCCTTCCAATCTTTTGGGAATCGAAGGAATTCCAGAAAATCTTTTAAAACCCTAGGATGCAAGTCATCAGATTCAGCATATGTCGAGTCCTATTAATTTCCCTATTAGTTTTTACTCATTTCGTTAAGTTCCTCATTCTCGCTAGACCTTGGTTCCCCATTATTTCTAGAATGCTTTGAGTGTTCTACCATGAAGACAGATCAAGTATTTACTTCATGACTCTGCCAGTTCCTCCTTCTTACCTGCCCCAAGTGGATCTAGTTTGCTTTCACTAATCTCTACATTTCTGCTCTGTAGCATCCTTTTTGGTATTCACTATCTCATGATAGGTCAATGCCTGATGTTCTACATATTACCCTCTGAGACAAATCCCATTGATACTGTACCTGCAATGCAGCCATGTGACTGCTGGACATGATGGAACCATAGAGAAGGAAGGTACAGCATTTCGCCTGCTCTCACTGTGCAGTGGAGAGGCCTTGCATGAGAATATTCAGGATAACGACTGAGATCAGGATTCACGGGGTCAAGAGGAATCCAGGGTACCTGGTTTTGGGGAGGGAGGAAGAAGTCATTAGTTACATAAAAACACAGTAGGTGCCAACTTAATTACATCAGGCCACCACGTGAAGAACAATTGTCTCTCCAACGGTACCAGACAACAAATGATCGATTTGTTGTTCTGTAGGTAAATGTGGTATCTATCATGCAGATGAAAATCATACCAAAATCAGTCTTAAAATGCATAATCGGGTCATCTCTTCCCTGCTGGTGTTGATTGAGCGAGGATACCATAACATTTCAGTTGATATAATGGGATCTTTAATGCCCACCAGAGCAGGTAAACAAGGCATCGGTTTAAACTATCGATTGATGTACAGCAATGCAACAGTCCCTCAGTACTGCATTGGAATGTCAGCATAAAGTATATGTTGGAGAGAAACCCAAGCCTCAGAAGATAATTACAGTTAAGCTCAAATATCAGGCCTTCATATTGGAGACTCTTGGTAAACAGATATGAATTAAATTCCAGTGGTTGTATACAGCTCCCTAACGGCTTGCTAGGTTTAGCCTAGTTGATTACTGACCCATGCTGGCAAGAAGGTCACAGGTTTGATTCCTAATCGTTGCTGAATTAACTGATCTCACTTGGCCTTTGTGCCCCAGGAGGGGAGAAAAACTGAACCAGAGCTCCCACACTCCATGGTGATTCAGTTATCTCCTCTGAAGAAGGACATCAGGAGAGGGAAGGATTCAGATAGGCTGACTTAACCCTTGCAAGACTTCCTGTGGGAATAAACCAGCAAGAGTTGGGGCTGTCAAGCTAGAACGAGAGAAAGCGAGGGGTCAATATTAGGGGAAAGCATTAAAAAATAGTTTACAATGAAGTATCATTCTTTGGAGAGGTTTCTGTTGCTGCACACAATAGACCATTGAATCAGTCAACAATTGACTATAGGCACAGCACTTAAACAAGAACTTATCACAAAAGAATTGAAAATGAATGAATGGGAAGTGGCTGTTCCAAAGAAATTCTAAACAAGCAGCAAACAGGAAGGATTTTGTCTCATTATGATCTGATAGAAAGGGTATGAACAAGGAGATGTTCATTTCTTGCTGCTGCACACACTATCCAATTCTTCTCCTTTATCTGCTGCCTGGACATGGTCCATTTTATCACCAGCTGGCGAAGGTTCCAGTGGAGAATTGCCTATGCAGGAGTCACCCAGTTTCCATCAGGGGCCTGGGGTGAAGGGTGCAGAACATAATGATCCAGCGCAATTATAGACTGAGGTGGCTTGTGGACTGTTTATTTTGTGAAGCTGTGGAGTCCGTGTACCTTGTGTATGTTAGTTGTGAGAGACTGCACCCCTTGTGCACATCGGAGGATCTCCTCATGGGCCTGCTCCTGGGTCTGGTCAAAGTTGCCATCAACAGGTTCAGGTGCAGAGCATGGAGGGGTTCATAGCTCCTATCTGCCTGCCCCTCTTCCGCAATAGTGCTAGGATGTCGACCAACACCCTCAAAGCCTTTAGACAGAACAAGGCACTGGGGTGGGCGGGGAGCTTGGGGTGCATTATTTCCCCCTCCAACTCCATTTTAATTTAATCCCCTTCCTTGTTCCCTACCCTCCCTTTTTGTTGTTATTGCGCCTATTAAAATAACAATTTACTAGTGCCACAGTTATATGAAAAAAATCCCCTTCCAACGCCATTTGATTTAGCTCCCTTACACTCACCTTTGACAGTCTGCATTGCCCTTAACAGGCTTTGCGTGCAAATTATTCAAATGGAAACACCAGTGATTTACTGGAGGTGGTTGATAGATGGAAAAAAAATACCATAGGTGATTTGGTGATGGGGAAAAAAAATGTTCAGTTGTGTGCAAGAGGACTTCTCGATATACATATAAAACAAAAAAAAAATCACAGGATGGAGGGATTGTCTTATGAGCAAAAGCTAAACAAGTTGGGACTGTACTCGCTGGAGTTTAGAAGAGCCAGAGGTGATCTCTTTGAAACATACAAGATTCTTAAGGAGATTGACAGGTTAAATGCTGAGAGGATGTTTCCCCTCATGGGACAGTCTAGGGCCAGAGGCCAAAATCTCACAATAAAGGAGTGCCAATTTAAGACTGACATGAGGAGGAATTTCTTCACTAAGAGTTGAATATCTTCGGAAACTTCTTGCCACAGAGAGCTGTGGGAGCAGAGTCTTTGTGTATACTTAAGGTGAGATTGATAGATGCTTGATCAGTAAGGGAGTCAAGGGTTATGGGGAAAACACAGGAAAGTGGACGTAAGGAATGTCAGATCAGCCATGATCCTTTTGCAGGCTTAAGGAGTTCCTATTTCTTATGGTCTTAGATGATGAATTCAATGTTCTATGGTCTATTGAAATTTAGTGTAGGGATGACTGGGCCAAGGTTTGGTCCACTGGGATTCAGAAGAAAGGAGTGATGTGGAGACTGGATAGAGTGGTGCAGTCATTTACGAGATAGTCAGACATTGTGACGAGGCACTGTCTCTTGTTCCTTCAAGATAAAGATAACCACACTCATCATCTGGAGCATTTTGTTGGGTTCTAGTATATAGGGGATTGTTCAGGCTGATTTTCATTGCGGCAAATAGGACACAATAGCACTGATAATTGAGTTTTGGGATGAGTTGCCTAATCAGAAATTCCTCCCCTCATGTTTTCTCTCTGTCGTCGTCTGCACTTGCTTCCAAAGGAGACTGCACCATTTTTATTTGGTCATACCAGATGCAATGATCCTGGGACTGAAAGTTGGTATCAAAACTCCTAAAGTGAAGCCTTCAGATTGTCCTTGTAGGACTTCCTTTAAAGCACAGTCAGACTCAAGTTTTCCTTTGGTAAGTGAAAGTCAGGCATTCTGACCAGATGACCAGCTCAACTTTGTTGTGACTGTCTTATGACATGGATGCTTGGCATGCCTACTCAGGCAAGGCCTCAGTGTAAGGTTGCTTTAACATCTGACCTACTTTTGAAGGGATCGAAAGTGTAACTAAAGGTTGGGCTTCTTGGTATGAAACTAGTACACAATCTAAGTCTCATAAGCATAAAGCAGAGTGGACAGGACTATTGCTGTGTAAGTTTTCTGCTTGGTAGACAGGCTTGGTGACAGTTTTTGGTCATGGACTGAAATTTTGGGCTTGAGCTAGGGCTTACCTGGAGCAGGCTGGTACATTTCTTCAGTTTGAAATTGTTGAGGTATTAGTGGTGATCTTTCAGGAATCACTGGAGTCAGGGATGGTCCCAGTGACTGGAAAATGCTAATGCAAAACCCCTGTTTAAGAAGGGAGCGAGGCAGAAGACAGGAAACTATAGGCCGGTTAGCATGATTTGAGAGTCCATTATTAAGGATGAAATTGCAGAGTAATTGGAAGTGCATGGTAAAATGGCTGAGTCAGCACAGTTTCATTAAAGGGTCATCATGTCTGACAAATCTGTTAGAATTCTTTAAGAAGGTAACAAGCAAGTTAGACAAAGGAGAGCCAGTGGATGTCATGTATCTGGATTTCCAGAAGGCCTTTGACAAGGCACTGCATAGAAAGATAAATAAGATAAGAGCCCATGGCATTAGTGGCAAGGTACAGGCATGGATGGAGGATTGTCTAACTGGCAGAAGGCAGAGAGTAGGATGAAGGGGTCTTTTCAGGATGGCTGCCAGTGACCAGTAGAGTTCCACAGAGGTCCATCTTATACATTAATGATCTAGGCGAAGGAACTGAGGCCATTGTTACTAAGTTTGCGGAAGACATCAAGATACATGGAGGGGCAGGTAGTTTTGAGGAAGTGGGGGGGCTGCAGAAAGACTTGGACAGGCTAGGAGAGTCAGCAAAGAAGTGGCAGATGGAATACAATGTGATAAAGTGAGAGGTTATGCACTTTGGTTGGAAGAATAGAGGTGTAGGCTATTTTCTAAATGGGGAAAGGCTTCAGAAATCTGAGGCACAAAGGGAGTTGAGAGTCCTAGTTTAGAATTCTTTGCAGTTAACATGTAAGTTTACTTGGTGGTTTGGAAGGCAAATGCAATGTTAGCATTCATTTCAAGAGGGCTAGAATACAATGCAGGGATGTACTGCTGAGGCTATATAAGGCTCTGGTCAGACCACATCTAGAATATTGTAACCAGTTTTGGGTCTATATCTAAGGATGGATGCATTGGCATTGGAGAGGGTCCAGAGAAGGATCACAAGAATGATCCTGGGGGTGAAGGGCTTGTCATACGAGGACTCTGGGTATATACTTGGAGTTTAGAGGATGAGGTAGGGGTGTGTGTGTGTGTGGTCAGGGGAGTGGGGATGCGGAACTGAATGAAACTTACAGGAAACTGAGAAGCCTGGATACAGTAGATGTGGAGAAGATGTTTTCATTCATAGGAAAGGCTAAGACCTGAGGGCTCAGCCTCAGAGTCAAGGGACAACCCTTTAGAACTGAGATGAGGAGGAATTTCTTCAGCCAGAGGGTGGTTAATCTGTCTAAGTTATTGACACAGAGAGCTGTGGAAGTTAAGTCATTGATTGGTAAGAGGATCAAGGGATGGGGAAAAGGCAGGAGAATGGTGGAGAACACTCAATGGGCTGAATGGCCTAATTCTGCTCTTACGTCTTATGAATACAAGATGAAAGTTATTGCATCTATTAGAGAACAAATCTATGCTATATTGCACATCCAACTCTGAACTGGCAGCTCTTGCAGAGTTGCCAGCAAAACAAACTCTGAATAATGCCTTTGGAGACCTTGGTCTTGACCTGGGTTCTCACAGACTGAACAGCTTCCCAGCCATACCCTGTCTGATTTCAATACCGGGATCATCAAAGAGTGGCAGATGTTTGGAACTGTCTTCCTCAAATGGCAGTCGATGGTAATTCAAATTTAAATCCGAGATAGACAAATTTTATTGAGCAAGGGTATCAAGGGATATGGGCCCAAGGCAGGCATATGGAGTTAGACCACAGATCAGCCATGATCATATTGAATGGCGGAGAAGATTCGAGAGGGTGAATGGTCAACTCTTGTTCCTATGACTTGTGTTAAAGGTGTTGGGATAGAGATCCACATTTTGTTCTTGGTCTTTCTCCTGGAGCTGTCTAATTCCAAACACCATTAACAGCTTCAAGTAGGTTTAATATTTATAAGGATAAATTATAAATGCAAAGTAGTCTTGAAATAAATGCTGTAGTTACCCTCAACCTTTTATATTGTAACAATAGCCTTCATAAGTATATTATTCATTGTTACTGAGAGAGAGATCAGGAAGTGTGTAACCAGACAAGACAGTTGAGTTACCATGGAAACTTTCAGACCCAAAGCTGCAGGTTAAAATAAAAGGGTCCTGCATAAGTTTGACAATTCTGAAAAGCTGAAAACTCTATTTTAAAAGTTCTTTGGGTAACCAAGATGGGCTTCTCTTTTGCATACTCTCAAATAACACCTTTGCTTGCTTGAGCCACAGAGAGTTAAGAGTGCTTATTTCTCACAACATGCTATCTCTTGATGGTTTCTGCAACCACACCAACACTCTGGCAGCATATTCTGGCCAAGCTGTTGTAATAAGAGGTCCTGTAGGATTCTGTCTAAGATCTTGCTAAGGGATTGGACAGGAATTTGCATTTTTTAAAAATATGTCCATAGGATGCGAGTATTGCTGGCTAGACCAGCATTCATTGCCCATTCCTAATTGCGAGGGGAGTGGTGAACCATATTCTTGACACTATGCCTTAGTGCATACAGCAAGGGGCAGAAGGTATTTGGGGTGTGCAAATGATGAGTGGGGATGGCCCAATAGCACATGGAGGGGAAGTAAACAAAAACAGAGCATTTCATAAATGACTTTGATCCAATCTTGGTGCAGTAGTAATGAGTTTTAAAACAATGCAGTACAATGGCTCTACTTCATTCACATTAGCACAGTAGGCCTCACTGGCACATGCTGCATTGCAATTTTAACACTTCTACCACATTACAAGGAAGAAAGGATCATGAGGCTACAATAACCATCTGGGTACAGGTCCCTGCTGACAGGTCCCCATCTGCATTCAATAAAACAAAAGTAAAGTGATACAACATGTCATATTCTGAAACTTTTAGTCATGTTCAACTCTCACAAAATGATATTTGGTGATTATGAAGAGTATGAAGGACATGTCATGCTACTAGCACTACATAATAAATAAGTGGGGTTGCAGAGGCACTAAGCAAGGTTACCTTAGAACAGGAAAACGCCATTAGGCTGCATAAACTTCTTTTTTAAGAAAGGTCAATTCCAAATCTTTGTCATCTTGTTCAAACTTGCTCTGTGCAATGATGTACAAATCACTCACATTTAAACTCCCCTGTCATTTGGCTGTAAAATTCCTTCTGACTTCCTTTTTCACTCCTAGTTTCCTCGTGTTTCACCTGTATTTCCCTCCTTCACAATAACTAATTGAACAACCGATGAACTGGGCTGGCTCTGGCACCAAAAATAGCAGGCCTAATAAGAGTTAGTGAATCTGAACCCAAAAAGTCAGGTTTTGCTGGCTTTGGCTATTTCCTGACATATTTCTGTTCCATCTCAAGTGGAGAGAAAGTGGTGTTGAGATAGGATTCGCCATGATCATCCTCAATGGTGAAGCAGACTTGTAAGGGTATAAAGGCCTACTCCTGCTCCTAGTTTCTGTGAATGTTTCTTTGGTCCTTCGATGTCTATGTAAACAACACCCATGGTCACGACCACAATAAATTTGGATTGGTTGACTCCTAATGACTAAAGGAGCAGAAACTGACAGGGCCAGAGGCGGACATGTAAGCTTGGCATTTTTAGCACATGGTATCCCTGGAGTAGTTTTTCAAGTAATAATGAGGGGACACATTGTTGGTGCAGATACCCCATGACTGTTTTCACAATGGTTATCATTACAGCTTTGTCCAGTTGCAGTAACACAGCTTTACTGCTCCTAAAAGCTATAATTCACGAGGAATGCCTTAGTGCATACAGCAGGGGGCAGAAGGTATTTGGGGTGTGCAAATGATGAGTTGGGATGGCCCAATAGTGTCAGAAAGACAAAAATGTTGGGATTCAGAGTGTGGAGAGTCGACTAATTGCCGCCAACGCTGGGGAGCTTGTTGGGACTGGCCCACATGGAGTGCTATCCCAGCATTTATCTCATAGATTAAGCCTTTCTTGCCCCCTAGAGCCATGAAAAAAGCCAACAGACACGAGCAAAAAATAGAATGGCCTTTAAAATGAAGGCAAGAAGCCCCATTATAATATTTACTTGGCCAATTCACTTCCCAGTAGTGCATTGTTCTTCTGCCCCTCATCCTAACTGTGTTAAAACAGCAAGCGGAACAGGGTTGAGGCAATTGGATTCCTGTTTCAGATCAGTTTAGGATGGGACGCAAACATATTGAGCAAAATGTTTCATTTGGAACAAAAACTACCAGCAACTTAATAAGAAATAAACTTTGAAATATAGGCTGATTATCCTGTGCAATGGGATTCAATAGGTGTAACCTTATAATTTATCTCCAATCTGGGATTTAACCACTCCATCTAAGTTTAGGCTCCTCTGCTTATCAAAGTAAGTGTGAAAGGTAATATCTTGTGGAGTGACAAATATATGAAAATTGAAAAGAAATTGACTTTCCCAGAAAGGACTGTTTCGATCTTTATTACAAAATGTATTAATTATCTATAGTGTTAATTATAAATACACAAATATAAATCACAGAATGATGTGAATATTCTGTTCATAAATCTTACTCCTGTTATGGTTCTGTCACATTCCTTATCTAAAAACAGTATTGGACGTGCCCATATAAACTTTTACACGAAGAAAGCCATTTTTAAAGTTCTAACAATGATGGGTTTCTTGACCCCATCCCAACCTTGCTTAGGAACGCTGTTACGTGTATTCATTAAGTTAACCTGAGTGTTTTAATATCATAATTTAAGATTTCACTTTAAAGTATCAGTCTGACTACAAGCTCGGGCTTCATCTTTTAACCCAATTAAAGATCTTTCAGCCACATCTATGAATTCTGCCTTAATCTGTATCACAATGAAGCATCTTGACTGGGTCAATGTAATGTTATATTTCATACAGCAGGCACTCATGGAACCATTGAGTGAGATGATAAGTTTTGCTTAATGGTTTTCAAACAGAAGTTGGAGGCTTGGTTCCGCTTCAAGTGAACAGTTTCTGTAATGTGGTTCAGAGAAGACACTAAGCATAGACTAAAGCGTCTCTCAGCAAAACAGTAGACAGATGATAGGGGAGAGTCACAGTTGATTGATTTTGGCAATGACAGGTTATCGTTTACAAAGGGGATTGACAACAACTCAAAAGCCAGGTTCTCTCAAACAAAAAAAAAATGTTAAGTCACACTAGTGCCAGCAGATCACAGACTGCTCTCTCATGAGGCAGAAGCTACTGGTAGTGACTTAACTGGAGGAACACCATGTGTCAGGCAAGGGGAGAGACTGAGAAGGAGAGCTCTTCATGGTAACCTCAGACATGAATATTTAACCCATGCTGTTAGCGTCACTCTGCATCACAAACCAGACAGAATGGGAGTAGGGGGCAGCTACGTTTCTGCATTAATGGAAATTTAGCTGAAAAATACACAAATTTTCATAGAATTGTCTTTTTATCCCTTGTAATGGTTTTTATTTTACCTTCTCTGCCTTCTGTACATCTATCACATCAAAGGAACCATCTTCATTCACCTTATATGTTGCAGGCTGGAAGAATTCTGTAAAAACAACAGTCCTTAGTTTCAGTCACTAGCCCAAGTCCTAATGTTATATTAGTGCACAGCAAAACACCAGCAATGTCCCCATACGCAGTATTTACGCCAGTTTAAACTGCAGAACTATGGTGGGAGATAGGCATTGTTTCTCATTTGCTATTTATTGATTTTTCCAATTTCTGCTGTACCATGAGCAAGAACTGCTGACAAGAGAGGAGGGCAGTAAAAGTCCATCGAAAAGGAAAGACATCTGGGGAGAAACTGGATCATGTGCATGCTGTAGTGTCTGAGATAGTAAGCGTATTCCCTGGTGACTAGGAGGTCCTGTCTAAATGCTTAGCTGCAGATGGCTTGACAGTCTGGGCTTGACCAGTCAGCAGAATTAGCAGCTAGATGCTTCTGCTCAAAACAAAAACAAAAGAATATATGTTATTTGCCCACTGACTTTAATGTGGAAAATATAACCTGAGGAACTGTATGGAGATTAAAAGAAACAAAGTCTAAAGTTAGGAGCAGTGACCAAATGTTTGGTTGAAGAAGTGAGTTTTAAGGAGGGTCATAAAGCAGGTCAGGGAGGTGGAGGGTTTAAGAGAGGAGATCCTAGGAGTTAAGCCTTGGACGGCTGCCATTCAGTGGACAGAAGGGCAGGAAAACACATAATAGGCTAGAGTTGGAGAAATGCAGGGTTTTCAAAAGGTTTGAGGGCTGGGGAATGATATAGAGATGGAAGGAAAGCAAAGTCTTTAAGGAATCTGGACGGGACAAAGACATAAGGTATCGTGATTGTAACGTGATCAGCCAGGTGGATCTCACAGAACATGAGTTCCCTGATTGGGGCTGTTAATCTGGTCCAATCCGGGAGTCCTGGCTGACAGATAAAACAGGAGTGTTAGGGGTCCTGTTCATGCTGAGAGCTGACTCTGAGGGAGCTGGGTCAGTATCAAGGATGCTCCACGTATAAATAAAGGGTGACTTGGTGACGGGATATCGGCCTCTGTGGAGTTATTTCCTAGAGCAAGGGTTTGAGCAGCACTTGATTGAAACGGGGATGAGATTATACAATTGTATTGCTGAGTTGGAATAGTTTCAATAATTCTTGGAGACTGCTAGCTGTAATACACGAACTTTAGTATAACATATTTTCAATTATTAGAACACCCTCTTGCACAAGCTTCTTTCCATGCTAATGTCACTTGTTTTTCTCATATCACATGAGCTATGCCACTTCTTTCTACAACACCACCTTAGTCTAACATACTCCATAATATTCGCTCTCCCCAAGTCTGTTTTGACTTCAACTTTTTTGTTGTACATAGAAACTCAACGCTTCAGTTTCCTTATCACTCTGGACATTTTCACTGTTTTGAAGTTTGGAGAAAATGTAAGTTCTTTTTGTTCTCTTCAGTAAATGCTGTTTTGATTTTTCCCTCTATGTTGTCTTCTTGTTCTCTCTTCTCTCTCCTTTTTTTGGCATTCTAATCTTCTCTTACACTCTAAGTATTAAGGTGCATACTAATCTATCATACCACACATTTCTCTTGCTTGTAGGGTGTAAGGCATTTTCACTCTGCTGTTGGCCCTCTGGATATTGTTAAACACAAATAAAAACAAAATTCTGCAGATGCTGGAGATCTGAACATAGAACAGTAGAGCACAGGAACAGGCCATTGGCCCACCGTGATGCTGTCCTAAACTAAACCCATCTTGCCTGTTCATGTGTCCGTATCCCTCTATTCTCTGCTTAGACAGTGTCTGTCTAAATGCCTCTTAAAACTGTGTGATGATATCAACTTCTACCACCTCCCCTGGCAGCATGCTCCAAGCACCTACCACCCTCTCTGTAAAATAAAACTTTCCTTGCACATCTCCTTTAAACTTTTATCTCTCACCTTTAAACCTATGCCCCCTTGTATTTGACATTACCACCCTGGGGAAAGGGACTCCAACTGTCCATCCTATCCATGCCCCTGATAATTTCATATACTTGTATCAGGTTCCCCCCCACCTCAGCCTCCAACACTCTAGATCTGAAATAAAAACAAAACGCTGGAGAGTCTCAGCAGGTCATGTAGCACCTACTCAGAGAGAAACAGTTAATGCTTTGAGTCGAATGTGACTCTTCTTTAGAACTGTTAAACAGAAGATGAGCTAGCAACTGGCTTGGAATGAACTGCTTCTGTCCTATTGCTGCAACATCTCTAACTTTCACTGTTATTCAATTGCAACCAAAGCTATTTTATTTCTCTATATTTTACCCTGTTCCATTTGGATAACATAAGATCTCAGGTCTGGTGTTGCTTTTGCTTTCTGACAACAATCGCACTATTTGACCTGCTCTCTCATACTTTCTATTAGTCCATGACTTTGATCAACAAATGTGAAAGGCTAAAAATCTGAGTTTGCAACCTTCTTCTCATGAATAACTTGATGGAGCCAATCCGCTCTGCAAATGCGAGGATTTGTATCTCATGACACTAACTGAAATCCTCATTCTTTCTCCATAATGCTGACACTGCTCTCAGCTGTCCCATTAACATGGGGAAATCTCAGTGAACTTGTTCCAAGTCTTGGAAAGTTAGTCAAATGTTGTCATGATATCAGGAATCCTTTGGACTGTAATGATTTCTTTCAATGATATTATCACTGCTTCTGAAGTGTGACCATGTAACTGTTTTTCTTAATCCACCTCAAGCATTAATCTATTATTATGAACATTTTTTTCTTATTATTCAGATAAATCCAATCCTAACCATCCCCAGGACATATAGAAAAACATGATGATACTGGTGGTTATTTTGATTTCTGTCTATGTATTGAAACGTTAATACATCTGGAAATAATTCCTCGTAATGACTTCAAGAGGCCCATCCACCATGCTCTGGTTCTGCGCATGGTAATACCTTCATGATCCTGATGTAGATACTGTAAGCTTTCAAATCTCAATATTCGTGGGATTTTTTTTTTAAAATCACAATATACTATCAAGTCCTCAATCACTGTCTGATGTGCTCTCTGCTTGAACTATGGTTTTAGTATACAGCAACACAGTACATGTTGGCCATCCTCTAAAATAAGATTCCCCGATCAACTCAGATTCCTCATTAGATTTTTAAACCTCCAAGTTCATTCAATCTTTATTTAGTTGCCAGTATTGAATGGAATGCCATTACAGCAAACTCCTACCACAAAGTCAGTATCATATTTTTCTGGATTCCCTGTTTCAAAGTTTTGACCATGTATCATTTTCCTTGCATATATATATATATGTATCAAACCTTCATTTGAACTGTTGAATTCTTGATGGCTTGGTTGTGAGCTCTTTTGAATTCAGTTGAGACACCAGAAGTTTGTGGTCTGTTTCAATTGTAATGTAAAGATCGAGACGTGTTCAACAAATTTCTTGTACACACACATTACTGCTAACGCTTCCTTTTCTCTGCATCTGTTAATTGTGATGTGTAATTGTCTTAGTTTTCCATTACTTTGTACATGAAGTATTATTGTTCCCAGTCCTGTTGAGGACGTGTCTGCTGCTATTATTGTACAGGGATCTTTGATTTGCAAACACTTGTACTTAAGAAAGAACATGATACATTGTCGAACATTGTGCTTCAACTTGTACACGGACTCCAGAACAGACCTTGAGTACAGCCAATATATAATTCACCGTTATAAAGTGCTAATGTTTCTGATAGCAGTAATCTCTTTTTGCTGTTTTTGCAAATGATTTTCTGACATGCTTCTTCTCAATACCATTCAGTCTCGGAGTAACAACTGGACTCATTGGGCTCAAGTTATTTTCCTAGAAATTTTGCCACTGGATCCACTGAGAATCATTGTTGCTCTGCGATTGTCCTTGGAGATGGAAATTATTTCCTAACTCTGATCTTCAATGGATAACCTTAATTACTGATGCATTTACAATGTCACCAAAAACTTTGATTGCTGGTTGTGCAAACTCACAGTTAATGCTGAGTGTAAATCCTGCCTTTTGTATGCTTCTCAGCATGGCTTCCACTCAGGTCATGCTCATGCATCAATACATCCAAGTGGTAAGACATTTTGTCCAAGTCCTCTAAAAAATTTGACACTCTCCTTTGAAAGATCTCTGGTGCTGATATTATTCCAAAGGGTGACCTGTTAAAACAGAATTTTCTCAGTGGTGCTGTGAAAGTTGAAAGAAACTCAGATTCCTCTTCCTGCAATACAACTAGAATCTGCTGTTACTGTCTAGTTTAGAGAATATTGAGGTCTTCCCTACTTTTGCTAAACTCTCACCCACTGATCCACTGAATGGATTTCTGCTTGGCTTTGGAACCAATGCTACCCCACCCGAATACCAAGTTGTTAGGAATTTTACAGGTGAAGTGACTCCTTGTTTGATCACTGAGTCTTACCTTTGGAAATAAAGAGTGAGCAAACTTCCAGCAGTATGCAAGCATATTGGTTTCCCTTCTGGACTTAATTACTAAATATGCTGTTTCACTAGCTTCCAAATCCTGTGAATAACTTCAGAAATTCAGGCTCCTGATTGGCTGCCCCTTCATTTCTTCTACTCTGTAAAGTTCCATGTATGCCTTTCTGCTGAAGTGTGAACTTTGATCTTGAATTATGTACAGTACTTCGGTAAATACTTTCTCTGTGTTTTAAAGAAGGTGTTATAGTTTTCCCAGAACCTTCAGCTCTATTCCTCCTGGTCACTGTAGATGCTTTCAGGATGGTCGAAGTACTCTCATGTTTAACCATAGTTGAGCGTCTCATGACAATGCTGTCACTTTACAAATTTTATTTTGTCCTGGGTTTGTTTTTTGAACAGAGCTTGTCAAGGCAGTGGCATCAAATTGGCTACTGAAAACAGCTTAAGTAAACAACTTAGGAGATGTGCAGGTTTTTTTTTAAAAGGAGTTGGAACAATGGAAGCAGCTTGAATGGGAGCAGCCAACTCTCTCAGACCAGGCTTTCTACTTTTTTTTTTAGCTGTAGCAGTCAGAAACCGTTTGGAGTCTCAGTAGACTGGAAGCTTCAGTGAATGATTCCTGGCTGCTACTTCCTCTAGAATTTCTCTTGATGCTTTTTCCCTCCTGGATTGGAGAGCTGCATGTAAGAATCTGTGTCTGAATTTGCCTTTTTGCCAAGGTGGTGTTTATGGAATGTCACTATATTGGAATAGTTCATTAGTAATAGGTACTGTATCTATTATCCAGTTAAGTTATTCTATGTTCCTCTTTCTTTTGTTTGTATTTAGCAATAGCATTTAAATAAATTGTTTTGCTTAATGTTGAGTAGCTTGACCAGTCCCATCACATCTGGAATATGCACGTCATATTTACCTTTAAAATAAGAAAAAGTTAGAGTCTAGGCGACCTTCTTAAAATATTTTGAGGGGGTCTGGTCTGGTCCATAATAGTCTGAAAGAATCGAAACTGCTACTCCAATACTTAACTTAAAGGGAGCCCTGTGATGTTGTACCAAAATCGCTGCCATCCAATAATTTCCACATTTTTCTTTAGTCTTTGCTAAGGGTAGCTCAATATCTTGTCATACTTCTTGAACTGAATACTTTTAAAGTTTATTCCCTAAGTGTTCGGCCTGTGTTTTTTTTAAAACTGTGATTTACAGCCTGAAAATGCCACATATTTTTGTGCGAATGGTAGTGGGTATTTTTGGCCAGATAATTTCCATGCCCATGTAATCCTCTTCAACACCTGCAACAGTTAATCCTAAATGCCACTATTAATTTTCAGGCCACATGTCTCCTTTTCTCACTTTTCCCTTTCTTTTAAAACGTCTGTATAATTCAACTGTATCTATTACTTTGGGATTTAGGGTTTCTCTCTTTCTCTCTCTTCTGATTACTGATAGGCAAACTTAGATCAGATGGCAGAACCTATGTAATTGCCCACATCACTGCATACTGACCTGCTCTCACTCTGACTTCACTGATGCAGAGTGAAATGAAGTGAATATCTTGCACCACTTTAGCCACTTTCTGCCTGATTAAGTCTTGAAATTTTCTGAAAACTCTCTACTAGAGATTTTTCACTTGCAACCATACATTACTGTGCTGTTGGGTTGGAGTTATTTTACTAACGCTTGAAGATTGCCAACTAACGATCACTAATTTCACTATAAAATAGTTACAGTTAAGAACACTCCCTTGTACTAATTTCTTTCCATGCTACTTTCTCTTAGACATTCCAATCACACCTGTATGACACTTACTTCGATGGCAGCACAGACTGTTACAGTTATCACTTGACAAGACTTAGTCTAATGTACTGCATTATACTGTAGAGCTGTGCAATATTATGGATGCTCTATGTGATAGAGATATTATTGGATTAAAAGCACAACTTCAGATTCAAAAACCCATTGAAATTACAAGCAGTTTGCTTCGGCCTGACAGAGGGTACTGCTCTGTGGAGGGGCCAAGGCCACTGTCAGTCCTCCCAACATTTAGCTGAAAAAAAAACTGCAACATATTCAAATCTGGATGCTGGACAAGCAGTTCATGGATGCAGCGCTGGGATCAAGAGGCATTGCGAGAGATTAAATTGGTGTTGCCAGCATAGGCATTAAGCTTGACCCCACATCTTCTGCAAAATGTGCAGCATTTAGACAAGGAAGAGGAAGAAAGAGCAGATACTTGATGTTCTTTAGAGGCAATGGTGAAGAGGCAGGAAGGGAAGCCATTACTGCAGATGTAGAATTAATTATCTTTTTCAGGCAAGTACCACTGAGCTGGAGGACAGAGGAAAGAATGCAATGTTGGAAACCACACAGAGGTTGAAGAAGGATGTTTTAGTTTTCTTTCCTTAGATTAAGGGAATTTCAGTGTGTGGCAATGACGGAAACCTGACTGAACCATTCAATGATGAAAATACAGAATGCATTGAGCATGGATCTGAGAAGTAATAACACGTTCAAGGACTTCTGGGGCAACAGCAGCTGGAAGCAGGGTTCACTACTGCAGCAAGGACAAGTGGGTCAAAGCTTTTGGCATTTTTTAAAAGGACTGGTGCATGACAGCAGAAAAGAAAGAAAGGTAACCTGAGGTGACAGAATCACTGACTATGTTAGCTAGTATGGGGGAAAGGAAGTTGATTTCAGTGTTCAAATTACTGGGAATGGTTTAATGTGAATGCACAGCTAATCAATGCTACATTTTCATCAAAGAAAGTTTGATGAAACAATGAAAACCAACTTAATTCCATATCTATTTCTAGCTTGCTATTAATTAGCAGCATGGTATCTTGGAATGGGACTATCAATGCATACTAAATAATGAACTGTTCTATCCAGTGGCCCAGACCGACTAATCTCATTTGTTTTGCAGCTCGATTATAAAGATGTTCAGAGGTAAGGGACAATGCTGTGAAAGCCTGACCTACCATACGGGATAAAGGGCCTGTCAGTGGGAGGGAGGAGGATAAAATGCTTCTCTCCAGAAACCACGCAGTACAGGTTCTCATAGTGATCTTTATGCACTGAAATAAAGTTTAGAAATAAGAGTCAGTAAAATGGCACAAAGGAAATTGGGAAATCCAGTGCAGACACATCAAGCAATGGATATAATCACAACCAGTTACAGACTCCCCCAACACAGAATACACACAGTGAGTCAATTATCCAGGGATGCTTACTTACTAATATGGCAATATTTTATATATCCACGTATATCAGTGAAAATCTTACTTATGATATGGATTTCCTATAGATAAATAATAACCTGCATTTATGTACCACCTCAAACATAGTGTAATGTTCCAAAGTGCTCCACAGGAACAATTGTTGAGCAATAGCAGACACAGAACACCCTCCCCACCCCAAATTAGGGGACAGTAAGATATTTGGCCAACGGTTTGTCCCAAGAAGTAGGTTAAGAAATGTCTTGAAAGAAGAGAGGCAGAAAGGGGTAAAGAGGAAATTCCAGAGTTGAGGACTGCAAAAGCTGAAGTGACAAGTTTCTCCAATGGTGGAGCAATTAAAATTCAGGGATTCTCAGGAATTGCAGGTGACGGGTATCTTGGAAAAAGTGAAGGACGTTACAGAGATCCAGAGGAGTGAATCCATGAAAGGTTTTGAAAACCAGGATGAGAATTTTAGAATTGCGCCGGAACCTAATGCAGATCAGCAACCACCTGGGTGATAGATAAATGGAACATGTTGTGAATTAAGAATACAAGGAGGAGGGGGTTGAAGCAGCTCAAGTTCATATGGGTTCAAACATGGCAGGCTGCTCAGGAGTGCACTGGAATAGTCAAGTCTAGAGGTAAAAATTAAAAGGATGAATGTTTCAGGGGCAGATGAGATGAGGTAGGGGCAGAGTCTGGCATTGTTACACAAGTGTAGTTTTGGTGGTGAAGCAAAGATGTGGTTGGAAATACACTTGGGGAGGCAACGGTCTAGTGGAATTATCACTGGATTGTCAATCCAGCAACCCAGGTAGTATCTGGGGACCCAGTTTCAAATCTCACCATGGCAGACAGTGCAATTTGAATTCGATAAAAATCTGGAATTAAGAGTCTAAAGATAACCATGAACCCATTGTCAATTGTTTTAAAAACCCATCTGGTTAACTAATGTTCTTTAGGGAAGGAAACTGTCATCCTTACCTGGCCTACATGTGGCTCCAGATCCACAGCAATGTGGTTGACTTTTAACTGCCCCCTGGATAATTATAGATGGGCAAAAAACACAGGCTTCGCCAGCAATGCCCTCATGCCATCAATAAATATAAAAAACAACTTCTAGGGCATGTCTGGTTCATCTGCAGATACTTGGCATAGAGAGGGATAGAATAAAAGACTAAGGCACAGAGCTTATAACGGAAACCAAAGACAATGTTTTCCAGAACCGAAGAATCATAGAATGCCTACAGTCTGCACCGACCTTCAAAAGCATCCCACCCTGTCCCCATAACCCTGTATTTAAGGTTTCTGCTCTTGCAAGACAAGGTGTCAGTCACGTAGCATAATATGTCATGGAAAATGGGAGGGTTTGGGAAGTGGTAAGGCAGAGTTAAATATCCCATGCACTTGGAACCTGATATAAGCATCCTGTCACGAGTCAGATAAATATTTATAATGAGTAAACTGCCAGGCAAGCATTCTATAATTGGAATACAGTCCATAAATATTTTGATGGAAAAATGGTTAATCAATAGTAATCTGACTTTCTCAGTAATTCCCCTTCCCTCAGTACCCTTGTGTTACTGATTGTGCCTCTGCTGATGTTAATCCAGTTCTCTTCCACCATCATCTCTATGTGAGAGTAGATCTTTCAGCATATATTCCTGATGAGAGACTGAGAGGGTTGCATTCCTATCAAGGAGCTGTGAGGATATAACTCTCTATACACTGGCTTAAATGGCCTGAGTATCCACAAATCTAATTTGTACTGCTGACACTCCTTGCCACTAAGGCATGCCTGGAAGATGATTCTTTATTTCTGTACTGAAATTAAGAGTAAACCACAGGTACTTTATAATCAGGTCATAGTCATATAGTTGTACAACACAGAAACAGACCCTTTGGTTCAACTCGTCCATGTCAACCAGATATCCTAAATTAATCTATTCCCCTTTGCCAGCATTTGGTCCATATCCCTCTAACCCTTCCTATTTATGTACCCATCCAGATGCCTTTTAAATGTTATAATTGTACCCGCCTCCACCACTTCCTCTGGCAGCTCATTCCATACACGCACCACCCTCTGCGTGAAAAAGTTGCCCCTTAGGTCCCTTTTATATCTTTCCCCTCCTACCTTTAACCTGTGCCCTAGTTTTAGACTCCCCTACACCGGGAAAAAGACCTCGGCTATTCACCCTATCTATGTCCCTCATGATTTTGTAAACCTCTAGTCACCCTCTCTGACGGTCCAGGGAAAATACCCCTGACCCTCAAACCGGATCAACTGGCTGTGCAGCAATATTTGAGTTATTGAAACCAATTTACACTCTGTCCATGGGAGGATAATTCATAAAACTGAGCAAACTAACCTTGTTACATAACAACACTGTGATGGGTCACTGCAGATCATTGATTGGGAATGTCATTGCATGTCACGAGACACCAGGAAACAAAGCAGAAGCCCATTGTGCGTTATGCCACACAAAATGTCAGGACAAGTGTGCAAGCACAGGGCTAGATGTATGGACAATACTTGTGAATCAAGACCCACAAAACTCAGGATCTGCAGTGCAGTTGTGTCTCTGGAGATTAAATGATAACCAGAGATAGGTTTAGCTGCTCCTCCCAATGTTACCTTCAAAAAACAAAACACAGAAGGTCGTCTCTCTTTCACAGGTCAGTTGGCATGACCCCGTTCCCCAACTCTTCACTGTCCAAACACCTTATTTACATGAATAAGGAGCTTGAGTTACTTACAGGAAGTTACTGCAGCTGACTCCCCCAGCCAGAAATTTACAGCATCAGGCATCTTCCCTAAAACAAAAGGAGAGAAAATAAATGGTCTGACAGCAAAAGAATAAGAACACAGACCATTAAAGAGTGATCGGATACTTGCTGGTCCATCCACCACGAAACCAGATCATTTCCATTTCGCCCGCATCCCTCCAAATGATGCCAATCAAAGGTAGGCACCTATTTATTTTTCTGGAGCCAGCAGGAGAGGAGGTGGGTCACATGCCTTTGGAGGGGTACGCCTTATTGCAACTCCAGATTCACAGAGGGCTACCTTGGGACACATGAGCTCTGCAGCAGTCCCCAGCCTGACCTGAAGTCTGGTCGGGAGCATGGGCAGATTCCACCTTCACATTTCAGCAACAGCAACCAGCATATCAGGGTCCCACAGTGAAACTCCCGCCATCAGTACCTGCAGCACTTAACACCCACAAAGACAGCACCCTCACAACTGTGACCATTTTAACCACAGGAGAACGTAACTGGAACAGGTTTTGAGAAAAGGAGAGAACTTTAACTCGTCATTTCTATGACCGTCAACGTGAGCTAATTAGCATTGAGTTGCTGACGTGCGCGATGTAAATGAGGTAAGCTGTGCCCACCACTCTTCACTCACCTAGCGCCTCACTCATCCACGCGATGTGGGGATCTATGTCCTGCAGGAGCTGAGGGAATTCCTCTGTCAGGTTTGAGCACTGCTTCTGCACGTAGAACACACCGCTCGCAGCCCGCTTCCTCTCGATGATGTCCAGGAAGTCCTCAAATGGCATTTGCCGTTCCTCGGGCATCACGAACCGACCCTCGTACACAGCATCAGCATACCCATTGGGGGTCACCGCCACACTCACCCTGCGCTTTCCAACCACCTTTCTGAAAGTGAAATATCCCAACGTTACCACAACAACCTGCACTTATACAGCATCTTTGACATAGCAAAATGTTCCAAAGTGCTTAATAAGAGCGATAGCAAACAACATTTGCCACTATGTCACATAATGAGATCTTAGAATAGGAAGAGATTTTAAGAGGCACCTGAAGGGAAGGTAGAATGAGGTCCAGGGATGAAGTTGAGAACTTGACAGTATTAGGCAAGAACTTTCAAAAGTTGACCGAGGGCAGATATTCGCAGGTAAGTGGACGGCTGGAAAGTGGGAAGCCTTCAAAAATGAGATAATGAGAGTCCACAGACAGTACATTCCTGTTAGGGTGGAAGGCAAGGCTGGTAGGTGTAGGAAACGTTGGACGACTAGAGAAATTGAGGTTCTGGTCAAGAAAAAGAAGAATGCATAGCAGGGATCCAGTAAACCCTGGAGGAGTATAAAGCCAGTAGGCGTATATTTAAGACGGAAATCAGGACGGCAAAAAGGGAACATGAGATAGCTCTGACGAATAGGGTTCAGGAAAATTGAAAGGGTTTCTACAAATACATTAAGGGCAAAAGAGTGACGAGGGAGAAAATAGGGCCGATTAAAGATCAGCAAGGCTGCCTATGGGTGGAACCTCTGGAGATGGGTGAGATTCTAAACAAGTATTTTGCATCAGTCTTTACTATGGAGAAGTGTATGGAAGATAGAGAACGTGGGGAAATAAATAGCAACATCTTGAAAAGTGTCCTTATTACAGAAGAGGCGGTGCTGGAAGTCTTGAAATGTATAAATGTGGATAAATCCCTGGGACCAATCAGGTATACTCTAGGACTTTGCGAGAAGGCAGGGAAGTGATTGTTGGGCCCCTTGCTGAGATATTTGTATCACCGATAGCCACAGATGAATTGCCGGAAGACTTGAGGTTGGCTAACGTGGTGCCATTATTTAAGAAAGGTGGTAAGTAAAAACCAGGGAACTTATGACTGGTGAGCCTGACATTGATGATGGGCAGGTTGTTGGAGGGGCTTGAGGGACAGGATTTACGCGTAGTTGGAAAGGCAATGACTGAATAGAGATAGTCAACGTAGCTGTGCATGGGAAATTGTGCCTCACTAACTTGATTCAGTTTTTTGAAGAAGTAACGAAAAGGATTGAAGAAAGCAGAATGCAGGGTGATGGACGTGATCTATATGGACTTCAGTAAGGTGTTCAACAAGTTTCCTCATGGTAGACTGGTTAGCAAGGTTAGATCAAATGGAATACAGGGAGAACTAGCTATTTGGATACAGAACTGGCTCGAAGGTAGGAGATAGAGGGTGATGGTGGGGGGAGTTGCTTTTCGGACTGGAGGCCTGTGACCAGCGTTTTGCTGCAAGTATTGGTGCTGGATCCAATGCTTTTTGCCATTATATCAATGATTTGGATGTGAATATAGGAGGTATGGTTAGTAAGTTTGCAGATGACACCAAAATGTAGTGGGGATAGCAAAGGAAGTTACCTCAGAGTAGAACAGGACCTTAATCAGATGGGCTGAGGAGTGGCAGGTGGAGTTTAATGTAGATAAATGTGAGGTACTACGTTTTGGTAGGGCAAATCAGGGCAGGACTTATACAGTTAATGGTAAGATCCTGGGGAGCGTTTGGGGACTTTGGAGTGCAGATTTATAGTTCCTTGAAAGTGGAGTCACAGGTAGACAGGATAGTGAAGGCGGCATTTGGTATGCTTGCCTTTATTGTTAAGTGCATTGAGTATCAGAGTTGGGAGGTCATGTTGCAGCTGTACAGTACATTGGTTAGGCTACTTTAGGAATACTGCATTCAATTCTGGTCTCCCTGCTATAGGAAAGATGTTAAACTTGAAAAAGTTCAGAAGAGATTTACAAGGATGTTGCCAGGGTTGGAGGATTTGAGCTGTAGGGAGAGGCTGAACAGGCTGGGGCTATTTTTGCTGGAGTTTCAGAGGTTGAAGGATGACACTTTTATAAAATATGCATAAAATGAATAGTCAAACTCTTTTCTCCAGCATGGGGAGTCCAAAACTAGAGGAGAAACCTGGAGTCAGAGACAACACAGTATGGAGCTGGAGGAAAACAGCAGGCCAGGCAGCAGAGAAGCAGGAACAAGGGTCCTGACCCGAAATGTCAATTTTCCTGCTCCTCTGATGCTGCCTGACCTGCTGTGTTCCTCCAGCTCCATACTGTGTTGTGCAAAACTGGAGGACATAGGTTTAAGGTGAGAGGGGAAAGATTTAAAAGAAACTTTTTCACATAGAGGGTGGTGCGTATATGGAACGATCTGTCAGAGGAGGTGGAGGCTGGTACAATTACAACATTTAAAAGGCATCTGGATGGGTAAATGAATAGGAAGGGTTTAGAGGGATATTGTCCAAATGCTGGCAAACAGGACTAGATTAATTTAGGATATCTGGTCGGCACGGACGAGTTGGACAAAAGGGTCTGTTTCTGTGCTGTACATCTCTTTGACTCTCTAATTGCTCAAGGCTTAAGACAGTTGAAAGCATGGCCACCTATGGGTGGGCTGGAATTTATTGCTCATCCTTAATTGTCCAGAGAGGTGGTGGTGAGCTGCCTTCTTGAATTGCTGCAGTCCGTTTGGTGTAAGTAGACAGACTCATAATGCTGTTAAGGAAGGGAGTTCCAGGCTTTTGACTCAGCAACACTAAAGGAACAGCAATATATTTCTAAGTCAGGATGGTGTGAGGCTTGCATTCGGTGGTATTGCCACATATCTGTCCAAGAATCACAGAACCCCGACAGTGCAGAAAGCCCCAGCCTCCTTCCCTTTCCCTGTAACCCCACATTTCCCATGGCTAATCCACCTTGTCTGCACGTCCCTGGAAACGATATGACAATTTCCCATGGTCAATCCACCTAACCTGCACATCTTTGGACTGTGGCAGGAAACTGGAGCACCCAGAGGAAACCCATGCAGACACAGGGAGAATGTGCAAACTCCACACAGACAGTTGTCCGAGCCTGGAATTGAACCCGGATGCCTGTAGCTGTGAGGCAGCAGTGCTAACCACTGTGCCAATGTGCTGCCAATGTTGGTGATTGTGGGTTGGAAAGGTGCTTTATTTGCAGAGCGGAGACTTGGTGAATATCTACAGTGCATCTTGTAGATGGTGCACACTGCTGCTACCGAACATCAGTGGACGTTTGTGGATGGGGCACAATGCTTTGTCCTGGATGGTGTCAAGCTGCAATGCAGGCACGTGGAGAAATGAAAAACAAGCAGTGTTA